TTTGCAAGCCGTCATGTGTTTTGACCTGTGGATGTGTTGTTTCCATGCACCTCTCACTGATGGCATAAGAAAAAGTGTACTCGATCTATGTATGTGTATAATGCTCTTGTTACATATTTCTTCCGTTCTAAATTGTAATTTATTTTAGTTTTTCTAGATATATTTTATGTCTATATCTCTTCTCTTCTCTACACCTAAAAATATTGTAACATCATCGTCTACTTGGTGATACCAAGTCTTAATTCCTACTCACGCATCCGCGTCCGATACAAATCATCCTCTACTCGGAGCTCACACGTCTGTATTCTACCCGGATCCATGTGTTTACGTCCGATACGAAGTCCTCTGATGTCACGTGTCCGCGTCCGATTACTGAGGTTCAGTTCAAAAAATATGGCCTGGTGCAACACCCGGGTTGTATCTAGAGCATAGTAAAAACTGTGTATCAACAGAAGCCAGAACAACTTATAACTTAGAATGGATGGAGTATTTATTTACCATTACCATTTCTCCTTATTTCTGTATACCACATCAGCCACTGGCTTCTTCCACGTCACCGCTTACTTATGTCCATCCGATCAAAGCACGCCCAGGCTTCCTGCCTCTCGGCCTCCCACTCGAACTTTCCACCTCGCGACTGCCCTCCCCATGTAAAGAAAAGGAAGAACCCTCCAGAAAACCGCGTCCCTTCTATATACCACATCAGCCACCGGCTTCTTCCACGTCACCGCTTACTTATGTTCGTCCGACCAGGCCACCGCTTCATTGTGTCCGTCCGATCAAAGCGACGCCCACGCTTTCTGCCTCTTGGCCTCCTCGAACCTTCCACCTCGCGACTGCCCTCCCCACGCAAAAAAAAGGAAGAACCCTCCATAAAACCACGTCCCAGTTATTTATTTATGTAAGCCAATCATGCAGCATCACCATACCTGCTGCCACAACAAACCTTCAAAACTTGGAAAGAAGGCTTACCAGAATCTAGCCTCCCAAAATGACATCGGAAAGGCCCAGGTCTCTGAGCTCCTCGGCGGCAGCTGCTCGCCTGGTTGGTATTTGCCCCGTTCGGCTTGTTGAAATTTGGTTGAATTGGTTAAAAAACGCTGTTTTGGCTGAAATATTGTGAGAGAAAAATACTGTTTCGGTTGAAAAAACAAGCTAAATAGTGTGAATTATAAATTAAGTCAAACGGGGCACTGTAATTGATGTTGATGACCCGGACAACGTGCAAATAAAGCCAAATGATCCAAATCCCGTACAAATGTGATGTAACCAAACTGTATAACCGATAGAAGCCCACAACGATGGGCCTTGCTCATGATGGGCCGTATGAAGACGCCGAAAGACAGTTCTCTCATGGGCTGTGCCGTCCACCCGAGACTGCCACTTGACGGGCCGGCCAGCTGGTGGACCGCGGTCCTCTCTCGCTCACATCGCCGGCTCGAGGGACGAGACGCGGATCTTCCGGTCCGAACGGCCGGACCGGACGCACGCACGCGCGGGAGCGGGGAATAGTAGCGCGGTGGGAGCGTGGGAGGGAAAAGCACACGCGGGAGCAGCGGGATAGCAGGTGCGTTAGTTTTTTATTCTGTTTTTTTCTTTCTTTTTTCTTTACATGCTTCATGCGCGCGGGAGCTGGATTGTTGGTACGTTAGTTTTTTATTCTTTTTCTTTCCTTTTCTTATTATTTTCTATTTCTTTTCTTCAATTTCTTTTTTAGTTTTGTTTATTTTTTTCATTTCATGTAATTTTTCATTATTCTTTTCATGTTTTATATTTTTATTTATTTTATTTCCATGTGAAGTGCACCTGTTCTATTTTTATCTTTTTTTTTTTTTTTGATTTCTTTTTATTGTTTTTTTTTGCTTCTATTTATTCTTTCTTTTTCTTTTCTTTTTTGCTTTCTATGTATTTTTATTATTAATTTATTTTTTCTTTCTTTATAATTTTTTTCGCCCCTATTTAATCTATTCATTTATTTTATTTGTTCTATATATTTATCATTTGTTTAATCACATTTTATGTGTTTGTTCACATAGTATACATGTGATGTTTTATGTAGTATACATGTGATTTTCTATAATATTTTTTGTGATTTCACTTAGTATACGTGTGATGTTTTATGATCTATTTAGTGGTGTCCACGTAATATATGCGATGTTCTATAACATATTTAGTGATGTTGTATGGTGTATTAATGATGTTCACTTTGTATAAATGTGATGTTCTATAATATATTTTAGGATCTTTGAAAATTATCCACGTGATGTTTATGAAGTATACATGTGATGTTCTATGATATTTTTTGTGATGTTCACTTAGTGTACGTTTGATGTTCTATGATGTATTTAGTGATGTTCACATAATATATATGTGATGTTCTATAATATAGTTAGTGATGTTCTATGGTGTATTTAGTGATGTTCACTTAATATATACTATGTGATATTCTATAGTATATTTTAGGATGTTTGAAAAATATCTATGTGATGTTCATATAGTATACATGTGATATTTTATGATGTTTTTGTGATGTTCATTTAGTATACGTGTGATGTTCTATGACGTATTAGTGATGTTCATGTAATATATATGTGACGTTCTTATAATACAATTAGTGATGTTCTATTGTATATTTAGTGATGTTCATTTAGTGTATATGTGATATTCTATAGTATATTTTAGGATGTTTGAAAATTATTCATGTGATGTTCTTTTCTAAATTTTTCTCTACCACGCGTTTTTATTTTTTTCATATGATTTGCTCTAGATTTTATTATTATTTTTATTTATGCAATGTATTTATTTATTTTTATGTATATTATAATGCTAATTTCATGAACCTAAAACTAGAATACTGTTCTTCTAAACCGAGACATTGTTCTTATGAGGATGGAGCATTGTTCTTTGAACCTAAAATATTGTCTCTGCTTAATAATGTTCTATCTTTATGAGATAAATGTTCGTCGATAAAATTTTATCTAAATGTATTCATGTGAGATTTTATTTTAAAGAGTTTATTGCAAGAAACGCAATGGTGTAATCGGAATTTAATTTCAATACTTGGTTTAGCCGCTGAGTTTTTGTTTACTTAAAAAAACAATGGACATGCGCTGACTTCAGCAATCTCGGATTATCGCATGCCACACACAACCCAATAAAAAAGAGCACGCGTTGTCAGTTAGTGGGAAAAAAATTGCCGACGCATGCAGACGTGACGCGCTTTTGAGCCAGGCAGGGTGCTCGTTCGACGGGCTGCCAGGGCGCGAAAATTATTTTGGCGGCCGGCGCGCGCGTTCCCATCCGCACGCCCGAAATAATTAGCGCAGACGAAAAGCTCGCGAGCGCGAAAATAATTGGCGGGAATCGTTGCCGGACGGAGATTACCGTCCGAATGATCGGACTCTAGCACGCCCCGGGGCGAGAGCTGTCGTCGGCCGGCGGGAGGCTTCGGCAAGCCGGTGGCGGTGGCGCCTGGTGGAGCCTCTCCATAAACGTCCGACCCCGCACTCAGTTGCCCCTCACCGCCGCCTTCCCGTACATCCGCCTCGCCCACACGCACCTCCGTCTCCTCGGCTCCCCGCTTTTGCCTCTTCTTCTCAGACGAGCTCGACCCGGCCCACCCGCGCGAGCTGTGCTCCTGCCTCTCCCTCCTCTGCCCTCTCAAGTGAGCGCGAACTGTACGGGCATGGAATAAACTGCCGTTCTCCATTGAGGTTCCAGTTTCCATGTAGTAACTATATTTTTCCAAACGGGCCAAGCCCGCTGGGCCGACACGGGCACGGTACGATTTGGCCCGGCCCGAAAACGGCCCGGCCCGGCAGCTAGCGTGCCCGTGCCAAGCATGGCACTGCCCCGTGCCCGTGCCTGGGCCGCGATGCCAGCACGATGGCACGGCACGGGCACGGCCCGCTTCAACGGCCGGCACGGGGGCGACACGGCCTCGAGCCGTTGGATGGAGCCCCCCGCCTGCTGACCGTTGGATCTAGGGTCGGGTGGGACGGCTTTATAAGCCAGCCGCCGCGGCGCCGCTCCTGGCACGGAGCCTTTCCAAACCCTATCTCATTCCATCCCCTGTCCCCATTCCAGCGGTCCAGCCGCATCGAGCTCTCCGCCTCTCCCATCGACTGAAACCCTAGCCGCTCTCCTCTCTTCTTCCCGCCGTCCGATGGATGGTTAAGGCGGCGGTTGCTGGCACGGGCACACGGCACTTCTACACCACTCTTCCTTCTCCCTGACCGTCGATGTAGCTTTCTCGTCGAGATCCACCACCGTTCGTCTTCGTCTCTGTCTCGTCGATCTCATCGACGTCGCCGGAGTCCGGCATCATTGGGGCTCCGCTCTGATGCGTTGAGGTACCAGGGTGTCGGATCTCCGCGACGTCGTCGTCGCCGTTGTCTCTGGTGCTCCGTCAAGAGAGGTGAGCCGTAACCCTAGATCTGTTCGTTTTTGTTCTTCTTCTTGATTTCTTCATGATCTTCTATTAACCCTAGGTGTTCTTGTTGTTCTTGGTTTTGGTAGGCGTTGGCGTTGAGGGATCGGAGTCCTCGACGCCATCACCATAGAGTCTTCTGGCGGGTAAGGGGTCAGTTCCGGTGGCCGGTGGTTCCCTCTTCTCCCTCTCCGCCCTCCTCCCTCTTCTCCCTCTTCGCCCTCAATCTCCCTCTTCTCCCTCAGATCCGGCGGTTCCCACCCTCAATCTCCTTCTATTCCCTTATTCTTCATCCCTGAACGTTGATTGAGCCTTGTTTGTTCTCTGCATCCTCGCTGCATCTCCGTCATCTATCCGTCGTCCACATCGCTGGCTGCCGCCACCTCCGGGGCTCCGGTCTCCGTTGAGGTACTGGGGGTGTGCAATCGGTCCGTCTCATCGTCGTCGTTTATGGGGCTCCGACCGTAGAGGTAAGGGTAAACCTTAACCCTAACCCTAACCATAATCCCCAACCTAACCCTATTTTTATCTGTTGATTGTGGCAGTCGTCGAGGAACCGGAGACGGCAGAGATGGCCCCAGGTGCCGGGCGACACGACGATGGGGAGTTTGACCACTCCCAGAACGATGAGCTGCGTATGTGCGGGATGGTCGGAGATGGTGAGGACGATGATGTCCGCGAGGACGCTGCCGTGCTCTTCGGCCGTTCTGCTGCTGATCCCCTTCCCGTCGACGACTCCGACCCCCCAGTCGACGTGGCTGATGCCGACGGTGGCCAAAGCGAGGTTAGCCCTGTCGGTTCTAATCGCCCTTCCACGTCTGCTATCTGGGAGGACTTTGAGAAGCACTACAAACTAAGAAAGGTAGAAAGATCAGGTTTGCTGCCACTTGCCTTCATTGCCATAAGCACTACTCTGCTTATTCTGCTCATGGCACTAGGCATCTTACTCGACATCTTGCTAAGTGTCCTAAGAAACTTGAGAAGACCCGGGGCATGACGCAGACTCATATTGCTTTTAATTATGATGGTTCTGTTCGTCGTTGGGAGTACAGTGCTGAGGTAGCTCGTGTTGAACTTATTTGTATGCTTGCTAGATTGGACCTACCTCTTATGATTGGTGAAACTGAGGCATTTAAAGATTATATTAAAACTGCTCATAACCCTAATTTTTCACCTGTCTCTAAGCAAACCACTGGTAGAGATCTGTTTAAATACTACAATGAGAAACGTGATAAACTGATAGTCTGTTTAAAGGATAATGTTGTTTCATCTGTTGCTATTACCTTTGATATATGGTCTGAAAAGGCTAAAGAAGATTATTTATCTGTTGTGGCTCATTTCATTAATGCTGATTGGCAATTAGAGAAAAGGGTACTTGGTTTAAGGTTGATTGATGTGTCCCATAATGCTGAGAACATTGCTGAGCATGTTGCATCTGTCCTTGCTGAGTATGATATACTTAACAAGGTTTTTTCTGTAACTTTGGATAATGCATCTGCAAATAAAAATGCTATGGATAGACTGAAACATATACTTAAAGAATATTTGGGTTCTGATCTGTTTTTGCATCAACGATGTGCTTGTCATATTATTAACCTGATTGTGAAAGAAGCACTGGCTGCTGTGAATCCTCTCATTGAGGATTTTAGAATAGTAATCTCTTTTATGAACTCCTCTAATCAAAGAATTGCTGCATACAAGAGTTATTGCATTGCTAGTGGTGTTAGACCTAGGAAGTTTGGATTAGACATGGATGTTAGATGGAACTCTACCTACCTAATACTTAAGCACTTGCTGCCTCACAAGAGTACTTTTAGTACTTTCATTGAGGCCAATTACCCTAGAGGTTCACGTAGTGGTTTCCTTTTGACTGATGATCCCTGGGCTATGGCAAATAAAATCTTGAAATTTCTTAAACTGTTCTATGACTCAAATGTTGATTTGTCTGGTGTTTACTATCCTACTTCTCCACTTATGATTCATCATCTTGTTAAGATTGCTATACACCTGCATAGGTATCAACATAATGAACATCTAAGATCTGTTATCCAACCTATGATTGACAAATACAATAAGTACTGGAAGAACATACCTAATATTTATTCTATTGCATTCATATTGGATCTAAGAGCTAAAATTAAGAAATTTATCAAAGTGTTTAGGAAGTTACATTCTCTTTTTAATATTGACTACACTAATAAGTTGTTGGACACCAGAGCTCTTCTATTTAAAATGTATAACAGGTATGATGTAATGTATGGCTCTAATAGGCTAAAAAGGGTTGTTCCTCCATCCCTGTTTGTTAAGAAAAGAACAGCTTAGGCTAAAATTTATGATGATGAGGAGTTGGATGTTGGAGCTGGCTGTTCTTCCCTCCCTTCTAGTCTTGATCATTCTAGGAGTATTTCTGCCACTTCCTTGCTATAGGCAGCAACTGCTAGTTCTAACTCTAGTGAACTTGCATATACCTGGACTATGACACAATAAGCCAGTTGGATGATGAGTTTGACATCATGCAGTGGTGGCATGAGCACAAGCTTACTTATTCAGTACTTTCTGTTCTTACTAAAGACATTTTGACAGTGCCTATGTCAACCATTTCTTCAGAGTCTACTTTTAGCTTAACTGGCAGGATCATCGAGGAGCGGTGGCGGAGGCTGAACCCTGAAACTGTAGAGGCGCTTACCTGCATCAAGGATTGGGAGAATGCTGAGACAAGACTGCAGCACATGGTGGAGGACAAGGAGCTAGAAGAGGCCTTTGCTGGTCTTTATCTTGATGTCGAATAGTTCACTTCCCATTTATGTAATGGTTCTGTAATAACTAAGACTTGGACTTATAGTGATGGATGTAATGAACAATTAATCTAGGAGCTGGCTGTACTCTTTTCCTGTTTAGGGTTTCTAACAAAGGTGAGTTTTACCTAAACATGTTTTTAATGCGGCAGCCATTGCACAGCTCCTACTTAAATTAGTTTTAGTTTCAAAAGTTTGTGTTCTTTGCTGTGCTGTGTTCTGATCTGTTTTTGATCTTTTCTAAACTTAGTCATTTTAGATCTCTTTGAATTGCTGTGCTGAGTTCATTGAGGGGTTTTGCCAGTTTAGTGCCTGGGCTGGCACGGGCACGCTGGGCCTGGAGTCGGCACGGCACGACACAACACGCTCCAGGAATGATAGTGTCGTGCCTAGGCCTGGAGTCTGGCACGGTGGCACGACACGGCACGGCACGGTTCATCAGCCGTGCCTAGCGTGCCGTGCCCAGGCGTGCCGTGCCGGGGCGGGCTAGTGCCGTTTTGTGCCGTGCCGACACGTTTGGAAAACTATAGTAGTACCCAACCTCTGAAGGGGGGAGGAATGAAATGCTGTACAATGTAGTCTACCATTCTAGCTAGGTTTGATTAAACCACTCATTTCTTGCATACAGTCTATCTATTATAACCCAGTATGTTCAAATCCTGGATCTAGAGAAAGGTTGCTCTAATGAAAAAAGCTTGGAATACATTTACATGTGACCAAGTTAATTCAATGCCCAAATAAAGTTTAAATTTAGATTATAGATGCAATTAATCCTGACAGATTGCAGCACATGAGTGATGATTTTTGATGTGCACACACACAAACGTATGGCCTCTACATATAACAATTTTTATGCATCACAAAATTTAAACCAGCATACATATTTGGGGCAACGCTGCACGCAATTATCTTGCAACATCTACCTCCAACACTAGTTTGGTTGTCTCCAAGCTCTGGTATTCCGTCTCAACTGAAGGGGTATATACAAATGGCCCTCCATAATAATGGTGTGCTTGAACAGGATGCAACTTTGTCACCTGCTGCATCTCTAGCCTTCTCAACATTTATAGTCACTCTACAACTTCCTTCATTGCTAGCCTCTCATCTCCTTTTGGGCTCAGGCAGTGCATGACAAGTTCAGCTAGTTTCTGAAGTACTATCATTACTTCATCATGTACTATTTCACTATCCAAAATATCCCGGAGCTCATTCTGGTGGAACATCTGTATGAAAGTATGGGATAGTGCTCTCTTTTCATTAGAGGTATAAATGTATACATTCTTTTTTCTTGTCATTAACTCTAAAAGAACAACCCCGAAGCTGTACACGTCACTTTTGTCACTAAGACGGTGACTGACAAAACTCTGAGGGTCAATATAACCAAGAGTTCCTTGGATAAGCATAATGAAATTATTTTTGTCCATGGACTTCAGTGCTCATGCTCCAAAATCTGACACTTTTGCATTGTTTTCTTCATCCAAGAGTATATTGAGGGATTTGACATCTCCATGCAGAATTGTGCGAGAAGTTGCTGAATGAATGTAGGCAAGAGCTTCGGCTGATTGTGTAGCAATCTTCAATCTAAGATCCAAGGGAATTGGTGATCTGGATTCATTAACATAAAGGAACTCAAAGAGGGTACCATTGGAAATGTAATCGTACACCAACATCGGCGCATCTACCTCCAAGCAGCATCCTAGTAGCCTTACAATGTTCCTATGGTTAATTTGTGATAAGATTATTATCTCATTCACAAATTCTTCTCTATCTAAAGTTCCTCTGTAGACCATTCCATGACCACCACATCCAAGAACATTATCTTCACTGAAGTTGTCTGTGGCTTTCTTTATCTCGTTCGCTGAGAGTATGAGAACGGTATCAACTTGCCTTGATCTCATCTCATCATATAATATTAGACCCCCATTTTGTTTGAAATATTCATCCTTCTCCTTCCTATGCTTACTTTGTTGTAATTTCATAACCAATAAGCATGTCAAAAATATGACTAGAACTGCAGAAGCACTGATACCTGCACAATGGTTACTCTATATGCTTTAGTGCCTCAAAACCTTGAAAAAATACCTTAGGTTTAAAATTTACTCTCAATTACGATCCTTACCTATGACCACATGTTCAGCTTTGCTAAGCACAGGTCGGCACCTGGAATTTGTACCATCTGATCTTGTTCCTATCCTGCACTTGCATATATAGCCTCCTTGTGTATTGCGACAGCGCCCATTTTCGCATGGATATAGCTTTTTGTACCTAATGTCCTGCTTACGCAGCTTGCACTCATCTATGTCTGAAGGGAGTTAGAATTTAAAAATATGTTAATATGGATCAAGAAAGTATTTAAGTGTATGAAGTATCCTAAAGATATCTTGGACAACTAACAAATAAGTTTTTGAGCTGTGCTTTCAACGACAAAGTTGGCTATAATTATGCATTGACTAAAATTGTTCTTGCAGTTGTTGACCTTGATTTCTAAATTCTAGTTTACTGGAAGCTTATTCGAGGAAATAACTTACGTTGGCAACCTTTGGGAAGGTAAGGATTGCCCTCATAACCTATAGTGCAGTTGCACAGCTTGCACTCACACAATAGCTGTTTGAACTGACACAAGCATAGTCTTGTGGTGGTTTTGCCCCATCCTTTGGACAGGAACTGTTTCTAATGGGCCAGTCATTGACGACAGGGATAGTCTAGTGGTCTTGCGGGGCAGGGTGCCTACGGCCGGCTGCTAGCTGCCCCAGCCATGCTTCGACAGCCAGGGCCTGCGGCCTCCTGGGTCGCTGGCCAGAACCATTGGTGCTGGACCTGCCCCTGACTTCGTGATATGTTCCTGTGCCGGGTCGGCCCGCTGCTTTGCTAGGATCGCCCCAGCGGCCGTGTTCGAACAAGCTCTTGGGTGAAAAACTCTGCCCGGCTTCTCGCTTCGGCCCGACGATGGTAGTACAGTCTGTACCATCCAACTTCTTGAAGGCGTTCGTCGAAAGATGTGTTCGTAATGCGGGTCGTTGGGGCGGTCCTGGGACGAAAGTCCTTGTTGTGCTCTCTGTTCGACTTTGTTGATGTCTGAGGATGTCATTCCTTTCTTAGGAGCTTCGTTGGAGCACTTCTGCCGCCGTCCTATTCCTCTCGCCGAAGCCGCTCCTAGCTGTGTTGTGCCTGCCTGTGCTTTAGCTTCTTCTTCGCGTTGGTCTGTCCACCTTGGATGTTGGTGTTGCTGCAGTCGTCTCGACGGATGCTTTGCTGTCGTTGGTCATCTTCTTCGCAGCGGCTACCTGACCGCTTGTGAATACTCGACGGATGCTTTGCCGTCGTTGCTGCCTGGGCAGATGTTTTGCCGCCATAGTCGCTACCAGCCCGCGGATGCTTTACCACGTGGTCCTCGCGGATTTTGCCACGTTCTTTCCGGTGGATGCTTTGCCACCGAGGCTTTACCTCCCTTGTTGACAGCCTTCGCGTCGTTATCTTTAGTTGTAGGTCCAGCTAGCTAGGTTGTGGTGGAGAGCCCTTCCCCTGCCGCACTTCTTGCTTTCACTTGTGTTTTTCGTTCTAAACCACTCGCTCTGTGGTTTTTGTATCCTGCGCTATGGGTTCTCCCATAGTCGCGTCGTGTACGCCGTTCCTTCGGCACTCTTGCTTCTTCTTAATGAAATTCACGTGAATGCCTGTTCAAAAAAAAGTATGTTGGTGCTCATGCGTTGAGTTGTTCTGTCTGGAGATTGGCATTAAACTAATGACTTTGACCTCACATTTTATGGAGTTACTGTCTAAAGTCGAAATGACATAGCATAGTTTACAGAAATTAAAATCTGACTGGTTAGGAAGTTGCTCTGGAGTTGCAATGTTTGGTTGAATATATTTATGCTCAATGTGGAGAAGTCAGAACTAATTTTGCGAGCTGCTTATTCATATGCCAGAGTGGACATTGGACACATTGTGAGTTAAATATGAATGCATATCAGGTCTTCTTGCGGAGTCGCTTTAGTTTGATGAAATCAGAAATCGAAAGCTGAGACATCATCTTATTAGATGGCAGCGCATATATTTGTCTGATCGTTTCATCTATGGATCAGTGTATAATTTTGCTTGAATCCGTCGCGTGCGTCTCTTTTGCCGGTGACCTGTTAAATGTTTTGACTTAGCTTATTCAATTGTAAATCGTTCTAGCTTTTTTTAAAAAAAATAGTTTTTAGGAGTACTATTTATCTAGGCATAGTATATGTCATACAAAGTAAAGTGTATCTAGAAAAATCAAAACGACTTGTAATTTGGAAGAGAGGGAGTATATTGTTTTCATGTATTTATGGCTGGGAGCACAAGAACCGAGGTTATATTATCTGGGCCGAAATTCTGCTTTTTTTGGACAGTTCTTGTCGACCCATTCCGTTCAAGTTCAATCCGCAATAGGGTTTTATGGGCCAGCCAGCTGCATTGCCGAAGTGTCCAGTCCGGCCTGCGGCGCAGTGGCCCACGACCCACGGAGGACGGAGGCGGAGGCGGAGCCGTGCGCTTGCACTCGTGGCGCGGAAAATCAGAACCGCATCGGCGGCGGCGGCGGCGGCGGCGAGGTTTCTCGGAGCGCCCGTGGGTGCGTCGATGCGGCACGCGTCCCTGTACTCGTACGCCGTCTTCGAGCGCCTGCTCCAGAAGCACTTCCCATTTGCGAGCCATCTCTTCCAGTTGCACGCGCTCCTCCTCTGCCCTCCGCCGACCCCCAATGCTCCGCCGCCGCCACCAGCGCCTTCCCTTATGCCTCGCCCACGCGCACTTTCGTGTCCTCTCCGCCCAGGGCATGGCCGCCGCCGCGGGGGCGCTCCACGCGCAGTGCCTCCATGGAAATGTTGAGCTTGCTGTAGTGATTGTGCAGAAACTGATGGCTCTTGACCCCAGCAATCACGACGCTGGTAAGTATGTGACTATCAGAAATTTCTATTTAGAAGATGGGAATTGGCAGGCAGACGTGACAATGGACAGGTGTGAGGTGATGCTGGAGGCTGGAATCAAGAAGACAGCAGCGCGGTGCGCAGTGCGCAGAGCAGTGTTGTGTTCGACGCTGCTGCCATCCCTTCATATCTGTTCTCAAGTCCTTCTGAAGAAAAAAGAGAATTACACTGCTACATTGAGATAACAATCAGACTGACATTCGGTGGATCAGATTGCCTGCAGGCATGAGTGGATTGGATCATTGGATGCCATCTTGCCTTCACCGTCTCAAGGTACAATTACTTGTGCTCAAGTTAACGATGCTGTTCTGGAAAATAAATTCCAAACTCCGTTAACATATCTACTTTACTGTAATAGAATGATGTCAAAATAGACTTTGAGAAACCTCGTCTTTTATCCACTAGCAATTTCAGTCATGTTGCATTCACATCACAATCTATGATGTGCTCGCAGCGGACGGAGTCAGATGCGATCAGAGGTACCTTGATATGGGCGTGAGTTCCAACTCCAAGCATTGCGACTCTAGTTCAGGTAGAAGCCAACCAGTAAGCATCAGAAATCGCACACTTCAAGCCATGTAATTCTCTTCACATTCCCAACCAAACAACCTTCTTCTATAGCACATAACTGAATACATCTCTAGAGTGAAATAATTGCAAATAACAGAAAGAACAAACGGTTCAAACCGACTTTGCTTTTGTGTTTAAAAGGTGGAACCACTTTATATGATTTGATTCGATCGACCATTTTGTCACCAGTGCTACAGTGAGTGTATATATCTTCGAGGATGGCGCAGATTGGCCGGCCACCACCATGGTGGCTCGGTGTTGGGTTCGACTTGGCCCAGGCCACCACCATGGCGGCGTGGGATGGGACGACGCTCAACGTCCTCCACAGCGAGCGCAGAGAGGGCGACGAGGTGGCGCGGCGTCACGAGAAGGCCCGATTTGCTGCTTGACGACGTCAAGGATGGCTGCGGGATCAGTAGGATCTAGAACCTAAAGGGGTGGGCTGCCCGCGGCGGAGATTGCTCTCCCCGGGGGCGCGCGATGCGGAAGCTAGCGGCATCTAGGGTTAGGATCTAAACCTAGACTCGTAATCATGGCCATCGGGCCGGCCCGGCTCGGCACGGCACGGGCACAGGCTAGGCATGACTCGCAGGGTGTCAGGCCGGCACGGCACGTTGTGCCTCCAGGGTCGTGCCTCTGCGTGCCTCGTGCCTGGCCTTCGGCCCTAGCACGGCACTACGGGCCAAAATTCGTGCCGTGTCGGCCCGTTGAGCACGGCCAAAACTGCGGGCCGTGCTCGCCCACAGCCCGGTGACCTCAAAACACCTCAAAAAAATCCACTCGTCAAACACTTATCAAATTTCACAGTTGTTGTCACAAAAAAGTTACAGAGATTGAATTCTCTCATTCATTCACAAGTCACAACCAACATTGATACCGAACAACGTAGCAGGATCCTCTCTGGTGTCGTCGTCGACCTCAGGGGCCAGGCCTACCGCGATCAAGTCGTCGTTGCCGGTGAGCGGCCAGACGATATCGTCATTAGCAGCCGCCCATGGCGGATGGCTCTCCAGCACCGTTCCTCAATAGTGCACAGGGTCGCCTTGGTCGCTCTATGCCACAGCTAGAGGACGACGCATCGGCTACCGATCTGCGCAAAGAGATGGAGGAGGATGAAAAGATCAGATCAGAATAGATCAATGGAAGAAGGGGAGGGTTAGGGTTAGGGTTAGGGTTAGGGTTTACTGCGCAACCGGTGCTCGGTGCCGGAGAAGACGAGGGCCACCCAAAGAAGACGGCACACCGGTTAGCAAGGACGGCGAGTGGCGGAGAAGGGACAAATAGTGACACGAACTCACATAATCTCCGAGATATAGAGGGGAGAGAGGGAGACGAGACGGAGACGGAGACGGGAGAGGCAGAGAGGGAGGAGAAGGGAGCAGCTCGCTGGTGGCAGGCGGATTGAGGTCATCGGAGTCGGTGAGGACGGACGCCAGTCGCCAGCAGAGGAGTTGGAGAGGCGAGACGAGAGAGTGGTGCGGCGGGTGGAGTGGACTGAAATGGATTAGGGTTAGGGGTGAGGGGGAGGGCGCCGCATCTGCTCAATTATATACGAGGGGGGGGGGGGGAGCCTGCTGGGCCGTTGAGAGGTGGGGAGGCCAGGCCGCTCCCGGGCCATAGCCTAAAGGCCGGACCGTGCCGGGCTGGCACGTCGTGCCTGGGGTAAGGCCCAGGCACGGCCTGCTCTACCGGGCGCCCGGGCCCGCACACCACCAGATCAGGCCGTGCTTGGGCTGGGCCAAATTTGCGGGCTTTGTGCCGGGTCTCAGGCTGCATGGACATTTATACTCGTGATACCATGTAGGAGAATAGAATTGGTGGAATATTCATTTGTATTGCATTGGGCCTCATGGGTATATAGGGTATTGAGGACTAACACCCCACGTGGGTAGACAATGTGATACTATTCCTATTTACTCTAATAGAAAGTTTTCTTATTCTGTTTTACTGAACCTAGTTGTTCTTATAAAGCCATCGCCTGACAAAATTTGTAGTTCAAAATGCACATCCACTTGTTTGTGTTCTTTTGCTTATGCGCTTTTCTGCGGCTTAGCTTTAGTTTTAAAGCAGTAATGTGCATTGTGAATAGGAAAACTAGAACAAGAAAAGCTGTTTGTGCACAATATGTCTTGTTATATGACCATGGCTAAGAAATCCATTAGCCGAAAAGCCTACTCAAAAGGAATTTAGGACCTCACGATTTGAGCCCCAAGCTACACTCCCCATTTTGGTCATGACTTATTGCTGGCATTTGAGAGGATGTTTTTTAAAAAAAAAAATGTGTAAAGAAAAATTGACATGTGAACAGGTCAATACTGGATAGGAAAAATGTTTTAAATTGAAAAGGTGCATGACATCATTGCTGCTTTTCTAAAGAATCTGCTAGAATTTGTCTTGAGAAATGCACTTTATACTTCGCAGTAGATATATAATGATTTAGAAGTCAAACTATACATATATATATCCGCACACAACAGCAGGATCAGAACTTACAACAAAACCTTTATACATATTGTATTACATAAGAAAGAGCAACCTTGCACATATTATCTGGCGAGATCAACATCCAACACCAGATTGGCTGTCTCCGTGTCCTGAAGTGACAGTTGTCGCTGGTCCTCCATAAGAGTAATGAGCTCTGATAGGGTTTGTTTTTGTGACTAGCTGCATCTGGAGTCTCCTCAGCATTTGTAGGTGCTCGGCAACTTCCTTCATTGTTGGCCTCTCATCTCCTCTTGGACTCAGGCAGTGCATGATGAGATCTGCTAGTTTCTCGAGTACAACCATAACCTCATTATCTACTATTTCACTGTCCAAGATATCCCGGAGCTCATTTTGGTGGAACATTAGTATGAAAGTATGAGATAGTGATTTCTTTTCATTATGATTGTCGATGTATATAGCCCTCTTTCTTGTAATTAGCTCTAAAAGAACAACTCCAAAGCTGTAGACATCACTCTTGTCAGTTAGATGGTGACTGACAAAAGTCTCAGGGTCAAGATAGCCAAGAGTTCCTTGGATAAGCATAATGAAATCATTTTTGTCCATGGGCTTCAGTGCTGAAGCTCCAAAGTCTGAAACTTTTGCATTGTATTCATTATCCAGGAGTATATTGAGGGATTTGACATCACCATGGAGAATTGTACGAGAAGTTGATGAATGAATATAAGCAAGAGCTTCTGCCGATTGTGTAGCAATCTTCAACCTAAGATCCAATGGGGCTGATAATCTTTGGTCATTTTCATGAAGGAACTCAAAGAGGGTACCACTAGAAATGAACTCATACACCAACATCGGTACATCTACCTCCAAGCAACACCCAAGTAACTTGACAATGTTCCTGTGATTGATTTGTGACAGTATTATTATCTCGTTCACAAATTCTTCTCGGCAACCATCATCTATTACTTTGGACTTCTTTATGGCAACTTCTTTTCCATCATCTAGAATTCCTCTATAGACTGTTCCATGACCACCACATCCAAGAACACGATCGTCGCTATAGTTCTCTGTGGCTTGCTGAATCTCTGTCTCAGTAAGTATAAGAATAGTATCAACCTGTCTTGATCTCATTTCGTCATATAACCTTAGGCCTCCATTTTGTTTGAAGTATTCATCCTTCTCCTTTCTGTGCTTTCTCCGTTGTAATTTCATAACTAACAAGCATGTCAAAGACGTCACCACAAGTGCAGAAGCACAGAGGCCTGCATGACCACTTTATTTTAGATTCGACGCATCAAAAGCCTAGAAAGGGACCTGCTATGGCCTTAGAGTTATAAACTTTGCTTTCAGAGGTTTTTTAGATTCTTACCTATAATCACTTGTTCGGACTGGCTAAGAACAGGCTGGCATCCAGAATTTGTACCATCTGATCTTGTCCCTATCCTGCATCTGCATATATAACCTCCTGGAGTATTGATACAGACCCCTTTTTTGCATGGATATAATGCACTGTACTTTGGGTCTTGTTTACGCATCTCGCACTCATTTATATCTGAAGAGAATTAAAACAGATTAACATATAGTGACAAAAAAGGGGGTCAAATGATGAGTTACTTCAATCAATATCTTAAAGATATACAGATAAGCAAAACAAAACTTGAGTTGTTATTGTTAGAAACAAGCAATCTACAATTACGTGGTTGGTTAAACATGCATGTTTCTGTAGTTTGTGATCTTGATGTCCAAACTAAACCTAGTTTACAGCAACTTTGTTTAAATAAATCATAACCTTGGCAGCCTTCACGAAGATAAGGATTTCCCTTGTAACCTTTGGAGCAGCTACACAGGTACCCTGGCCCATTGCTTGCATTCATACAGTAACTGTTTGTACTGATACAAGCATAATCTTGAGGCGCCATTGCCCCTTCTTTTGGACAGGAGCCATTTCTAATGGCCCAATCACTGAGGACTGGTACACCTCTGGTGGCTCTTTCGCTTATGAACCCAAGGTGCCCAACAAGGTCCTGTCTCCTGAAGCTGTACCACCCAACCTGGACAAGCATCGCGTATATGCATGGGTTGAAGCTCGGTAACAAGGTAACATTGGCCACCACCGCCTGGAAGGCAGTAAAGTTGGGGGAGATAGTGGTCTCGCAGCACCCCTTCCCACTGCACGGTGCTCCATCTGATGTCTGGTTGAGGCCCTCGCAGTATGAGAAGCATCCAGCCACAGAAAAGTCAGGGTTGCTGGATCCGATGAGCCCCAGGGCGCTGCAGCCAATGACCACGAAGCGGTTTCGTGTGGTTGAGAGGATGAGCGGTGTGCCTTCCAGGCTAAACTCACCGGTGTAGTTGTCCAAAGTGTTGGTGTTTGCCTTGAAGCATTTGTAGCCGACAGGGGCATAGATGCTCACCTCGCCACGCTCCAGGGAGATGTTGATGACCTCCATTGGTGTTGAAGTGTTGCTGTCGGCACTGGCAGGGGCATAGATCATAGGCCGTGGTGGCTGGAAGGTGCTGTTGCAGGTCACAGCAAAGCTGGGGTTGAAACTTATCGCTGCACAGCCATCGCCGATGCCGAAGGGGTAAGGGATGGTCACGTCGCCACACTTGTCGGGACACCCCGGCAGTGACAGGGTAGGCTCAGATGGGGTGGCTGACGACGACGCTACTTTCACTGGGAAGATGATGAGCATCAGGAGGACTAATGCTTCTTGCATGGCTAATGGGGTATGTTGGCCACTTGCTACAGCAGTCTTTCAAATTCTAGTTCTTCGTTCTCGTTGGTATGATGTGGTTCTGCATCCTGCTGTATGTACTGGCCTAGAATGCTAGATTATTTATAGATGGGAGTATGAACGGTTTGTTTGATCTTTGATGTCACTAGCGTGGGCGAAATCAATGTAAACTGGATTCTTTGAACTGGCTTGTATATTGCCTTTCTTTTTTGTTTTTGAAAGAAGACTTTTTATATTGCCTTTTACTGCTAAAAGTTGAAAAGGCTAAAGTGGATTCTTTGAACTGGTTTTGAGGTTTATTTATTCGATCGTGTCTCTGAGAAAGCGATAGTCCCTGTTTCCTTGCCCCATCCTATAGATGACTATGAACGCGTGGTGGATCTTGTTGAGTAGTTGGTACAGTTTGTGAAACCTTGCTCTGGACTGAAAAACCAGAAGAACACAGTTTTGGATCTCTGCTTGACGAGAGAGATATTTAGACGGCAAGAAATTTTTGTAGTCTATGTACGGTGCAATTGGTGGGACATTTTTGTATTGTATAATGTGCTGGCTTGAAACGGTCACATGTGTTGACCAATTAGTGATTGATTGATCTAGTTAACTGAATGTGCACGTGGTTTGTGAACGTGTGGTTGGTGAATGTTTGGTGGCAGGGCATCTACGCCATCCGAGTCCTGACGACTGACGGCCGGTTCAAGCGCTGACGGGGCCAGCTACGCCTTGACACTGTATAGGTTATATATATATATATAACTGGCAATTTTATTAGCAGCATGAAGCTGCGATGAGGGAAAGTCCCTCCAAAGATACAGAGTTGGGCACCTGGATACATGACCTGGGTGTGTACAATAAGAGGGGAGACTGTTGGAATTTCAGAAACACTACTGCCTGATCGCAGCTAAAAAAGGAAATGTTTGTGAGACAAGACGAACCTTGGGAGCACAAGAACAGACAGAGGTTATGTTATCTGGGCCGAAATCCTGCTTTTTTGGACAAGTTCATGTCGACCCATTCCGTTCAAGTTCAATCCACAACAGAGTTTTTATGGGCCAGCTGCATTGCCGAGCCGTGTTCAGTCCGGCCTGCGGCGCAGTTCACGGCCAAGGCCCACGGAGGACGACTCGGAGTCGGAGACGGAGCCGTGCGCTTGCACTCGCGGAGCGGAAAATCAGAACCGCGGCGGCGGCGGCGGCGAGGTTTCTGGGAGAGCCCGTGCGTGCGTCGATGCGGCATGCCTCCCCCTCCCCCTCCCCGTACTCATGTCGATGCGGCGAGGTTTCTGGGAGCGCACAACTTTCTTAGGCTCCTGCATTGCTTTGTGCTGAGAATGATCATGTCAGTTCAGTTGTCTCTCCACCACTCATGCCAATCCACTGAAAACTGACAAATTTACGGTCAAAGTTTAATTAGTGGCCAAACATGCACAAGTGACACAATTTCTCATGGAATGCATTATCAGCTACTATGAATCGTCTTGTTGAAAGGTAATGTGGAATATGGATATATTGATACTCTTTTGTACATACTGAACAAACAATTAATTTGAGTAATAGTTAAAGTTTACTTTGACCTTGAATCTCGATATGGAGACCAGTTTGAGAGGGCTCTAGAATTGAGCTCCATTGTAGATCTTGGTAGAGTCATACCAAATATTCCTGGGGTCCCAAAAGGAATATAATTCTTGTTTTTCGAGGAGTAAAACAATTTTAGGTTTGACCAAATCTATATAAAAGTATTAACATCTATGATACCAAATAAGTATCATTAGTTTAATTATAGAATACTAGTATAGTGTCGGTGCTAATATGACGGCTTCATTTCGGGGCTGCACATAAAAACAACCGAACGACGATGTGTTTTTTTCATAGTTCAAGTTTCATGCAACTTTTTTTTCATTGTTCATGTTTGGAATGTAACAATGCACTGACCATCTACCAAAAAAAATACATTTGCATTATTGCATAAGTACCATTTGATTCTTCTCGTCAGTATCCAGATCTAGATCTGTTGACGTATCAGTCCGAGGGCTTTGCATAAGCCATCTCAGACTCTTCCCCAATTCTCAGTGTCTCCTGTTGTTCAGAACTTAAGCTACCAGATTTGGTTGTGCTTCTCTTATATGTACTTCGGATGGAAGTTCAACTTTAGGTGTTGTACCATATGATACCAAATTAGTATCATTAGTTTAATTATAGAATATATTTTAGCAAACCTATTTATATAGATATATAAATGTTGACATTGTTTTCTATGAGCTTGATCAAACTTAAGAAAGTTTGACTTGTTCCATACCTAGAATTACGTTATTTTTGGGACGGAAGGAATAGATCTAATTCAAAAGTGGATGGAGTGATATTTCTTTAAAAAAATTGGTGACTTGGTTTAGTTATCTGAATTAGCTGACATACTCTATTTTACATCTTCCTTTTATTTGAATCTGTCCATTTCAGGTAGATGTAAATCTGGTATTTGCATTATGCAATTCTAATATACTCCATCCGTTCCAAATTACAAGACGTTTTAACTTTTCTAGGTATAATGATTTTTCTATGTATCTAGGCATAGTATATATCCAATTGTATGTATCTAAAAAAGTTATGTATAAAAAAAACTAAAATATCTTATAATTTGGAACAGAGGGTAGGGTGGAGCTCCTTTGGAGAGAAAAAAAAACATTCCATAAACAGCCCCTGTTCCTGGGCCTCTAGAGTCCTGACTCAGCTGAGGAGACCAGCTGCTTTTTTGTTGGGCCATCGGCTCGGTCCAGTCCGTCCAGCGGAGCTGTTCTGGTGGGCTGCCCCAATTCGGGCCCACGGAGCGGAGCCCCGCGCAGCGCGCGCACTCGCCAACTGGCGGCGGAGACGTCAAGGTGCCGGCGGAGGAGGCGGCGACGGCGAGGTTTCTGGGACCCCCCGTGCGCCAATGCGGCGCGCCTCCCCGTACTCGTACGCCGTCTTCGAGCGCCTCCTCCGGGAGCACTTCCCATTCCCGCGCCGCGTCTTCCAGGTGCACGCGCTCCTCCTCACCTCCGGCGTGCTGCTCCTTGACCTTGACCCCCAATGCTCCTCCACCGCCTTTCCTTACAACTGCCTCGCGCACGCGCACCTCCGCGTCCCCGCCGCCTCCTCCTCACGCCCCCCGCCCGCCCCGCTGCGCCTCTTCTCCGCCATGCTGGCCCGCGGCGCGCGCCCCAACCGCCACACCTTCCCGTCCCTCCTCAAGTCCGCCTGCGCCTCGGGCTCCGCGGCCGCCGCGGGGGCGCTCCACGCGCAGTGCCTCCGCCGCGGCCTCGCGGCCGACCGCTTCGTCGCCTGCTCGCTCGTCAGCGCCTACGGCCGTACGGGCCACCCGGCTCGCGACGCGCGCAAGGTGTTCGACGAGATGGAGGGGGCCTCGGACCTGGCCTCCTGCAACGCGCTGCTCGACGCGCTGTGCCACGCCGGGGACCTGGACGCGGCGGGGGACTTCTTTGAGCGGATGGCGGCGAGGGATCCCGTGTCGTGGACGACGCTCGTGTCTGGGCTGTCGCGGGGCGGACGCCACTGGTGCGCTCTCGAGGTGTTCAGGGGATTTTTGCTGGGTAACATGGGGCGACGGCTCCAGGAGGCCACGTTGGTCAGCGTGTTCTCGGCCTGTGCCAACCTTGACGGCGGTGAGGGGCTTGCTGCGGGCATGGCTGTTCACGCATACCTCGTCCGTCATGAGATTGAGCTCACTGCGTTCCTGGGCACGGCGCTGGTTGACATGTATGGAAAGCATGGGAGGCTTGGCTTCTGTAAGAGTGCTTTTGAGGTCGTCTGCAAGAAGGAGGTTTGCACGTGGAATGCCCTGTTGTTAGCTTTGGCTAATCATGGGAAGGAGACTGAAGCGTTGGTGAAGTTCGACATGATGAGGGTTGAAGGCTTCTTGCCAAATCAGATAACCTTTCTTGCTCTGCTTACGGCTTGTGCTCGTGCAGGATTGGTGGAAGTTGGGTTATACTGGTTCGAGGCAATGGTTGCCGAATACAAGGTGGAACCGTTGATGGTCCATTATGGATGTGTTGTGGACCTCTTAGGCCGTGCTAGCCGTTTTGGAGAAGCCATTCAGGTTATAGAGAGGATGCCCTTTGCGGCTGATGCTTCTGTGTGGGGTGCTCTTCTTGGAGCTTGCAAGCTCCATGGAAATGTGGAGCTTGCCGTGGAGATTGGGCAGAAACTAATGTCTCTTGGCCCCCAGCAATCTGGTCGGTATATGACTATTAGGAATGTCTATTTAGAAGATGGGAATTGGCATGCTGGTGCAAGAATGGGAGAGGTGATGCAGGAGGCTGGAATCAAGAAGGCAGTAGGGCAGAGCAGCGTTGTGCTTGGTACTGCCATTCCTTAATTAACTTTCATTGCAAAGCTTGTTGGTTGGGGACAGATACACTTCGATGATTATTAACAGATGTTTCTTCACATTTGTCCTGTCCCCCATGGGTATAACTTTGAGGAGATGTAAGTACCAAATATTCACTTCTTGGGTTGCCCTTATTCATGCATTTTATGCCCTTTACCAATAGCCAATATAAACCATAATTCTATCACGAAAAGGTTGTGTAAGTTTTTTTATCGTAGATGTTGCAAAACTTAAATGTAGTGACTTCACATGACGCTACTAACAAGTAGTACAGTGTTCTTGCTGCAGTAGAGAAGCGGCACCAAGAAGGTGGGTTGATCACAGTGGTAATGCTAACGCAATTGGGTGGCGGCATTCAGTTGCCACTTAGCTAAGGATTGGATTGCCGCTTAGCTCAGGATTGGATCACAGTGGAGGAAGGAATCAAACCACACGAAGAAGAGAAACAGATGTGATGTGAGTTGCCTAGGAGCTCCAACTCCAAGCATTATGACTCTAGGAGTCCAAGTGGACCAAGGAGCTTCAGGAATCACACGTCAGGCTTCTAGTCAGGTAAATTTTGCTCCATCTATCCAGTTAAATAGCTCCTTCTGTGGTATATGAAGGCACTTTTACTATTTAGAACAGAATCCCTACTCCAAATTGCTAGGGACTAACAGGCTCTGATGTTATAGAATAATAGAATTGGCTTGTTCAGGAAAATCAAAATGAACTAAGTTTGGTACATAGACTGAAGAAACAACTTCACTTTGACTGTCCATCTGAAAATGTTGAGTTGGCAAGGTTTTTAAGAGCAGGAGTTCCACTTAGTCTGGAAGAGGCATTTAAGGACACACTTTTCCAAACTATAAAAGAACTGACGAATGTTTATTACTTAGTACTTTTAGTTGAGTTGACCCAATGGGCAAAAAATCCCTTTCCTGCACATGTACCTCCCTTGATGTTTCTATAAAACTAGAAGCATACCCCGCGCGTTGCCGCGGAAATTGCTGATGATTTGGAATAAAATTATTTATACAAAGGGATAAACAATTATAAGTTAATTTTTGTGGATGATGTGGCACGCTGATATGGACAAGTAAATGCATGTTGGTGGATGATGTGTCTTACTGACATATAGATCATAATTGCAAATGCTAGTTGGCCATAAATGCATCCGATAGTGGACTGATGAGGTGGATAGCTTGCATGTTGAGAGAAATAGCTAGTGGGGTTTAGCTTTATAAGAGTATATAGACTAGAGCTGGATATTCATGTAAAAATTACATACATGTAGATATACATGCATAAAACAGCATATGCAGTTGCAGGCTTGGAATGATATCTCAGACATAACAGTTCAGAAGGAAGAATTTTGTAAATGTTGCATCATATCCTACATAGCATATTATGGCAACAGCTTAATAAATATGTACTATTTATTACATCAACAAGTACCACATGCAATTATCCAGTATAGAAGCACCGTTAAGTATCGTGTTACAGGATCTATGCCAAGATCAGTGTAGATGTCTCCATGCTGTTGTATGCCATATCATCCAAAGGGACAGCCAATGATGATGATCCTCCATGGTGTGCATAGTAACTGTCTTCACAGTCACTAGTTGCATCCATGTGGAGCCTCCTCAACATCTGTAGGCGCTCTGCAACTTCCTTCATTGTTGGCCTGTCATCTCCACTTGGGCATAAGCAATGCACTGCTAGTTGGGCCAACTTTTCAAGCACTGCCATAACTACCTCGTCAATAATTTCAGAGTCCAGCATTGCTTTGTGCTTATTATGGCGGAACATCAAGAGAAAGATATAAGACAATGATTTTTTTTTCGTTGAACCTATCAGCAAACATAGCCCTTTTTTTGTGATCAGCTCCAGAAGAACTACTCCGAAACTGTAGACATCGCTTTTCTCAGTCAGTTGATGACTGATAAAGCTCTCAGGGTCAAGATAGCCAAGTGTTCCTTGTACAAACATGATGAACTCACTTTCATCCATGGACTTTTGTGCTGATGCTCCGAAATCTGCAATCTTTGCATTGTGCTGATCATCCAACAGGATATTGGCAGATTTGACATCTCCGTGTAGGATCGTGCAAGATATTGATGAATGTAAGTAAGCAAGAGCTTCTGCTGATTGTGTAGCAATCTTCAGGTGAAGATCTAAGGGGATTGGTGATCTGTGATCAGCACCATGAAGGAACTCGGATAAAGTTCCATTGGAGACAACTCATACACCAACATTGGGACATCTACATCCAAGCAACAGCCTAGTAACCTCACTATGTTTCTGTGGTTGATTTGAGATAAAATGATTATCTCATTGACAAATTCTTCCCTGCAATCATCATTTATTACCTTGGACTTCTTTATGGCAACCTCTTTGTGGTCATCCAAAGTCCCCTGTAGACCATTCCATGACCTCCACATCCAAGTACTCGATCTTCATTATAATTGTCTGTGGCTCTCTTTATCTCCTTCTCTGTAAGAATATGAATCGTGTGAACCTTCCTTGCCCTCATTTCATCATATAACTTGAGACCTCCATTTTGTCTGAAATATTCTTCTTTCTCCATCTTGTGCCTTTTTTTTTTGTAATTGCATGGTGTACAAGCATGCCAAGGCCATCAACACTACTGCAGAAATATTGAGGCCTGCAAAATTATTTTTTTAAAAGAAGGAAAACAGATTCTAGTAAACATCTATTGCCAATTTAGTATGCAGTCTTATTTTCCTTTTTTCCTTTTTTCTGCTTAGGCTGTATCTTAAGCTTGACTTCTTCCCAGGTGCATGGAACACAAATTGAAAGGAATTCTTTTTTTGTTGTTATAGAAAATAGAAATTCTTAATAAGAACCTTACAACACCACAGACACCTCCAAGTCTCCAACACACTTAGGTTCCTAAAACATGCGTGCCACAAAAACACATATACTGACCACACCCTTTAAAACCGACTAATTAACTTTCAGGAGGTGCTGGGGCGAGGAGGTGAGTAATACATCGCGTCCCTTTTTTCTTCCTAATATAGTGATAGGCAGCTCTCATGCGTGTTCAAGAAAAAAAATATTAATAAAAGACTTGATCAAGGGGAGAGACATCCCCTGGACTTTAGTCTTAAGAAGGGACCCACCAAACCTGGGAAACATGAAGGAACCTCATGCGCGCACGCTTCTTTTGTGGCCGCGGAACCATCTGTGCTGTTTCAACCAGGGATGGGCACACAACCATGCAGGCACCAGGGATCGAACCCTGGTGGGGAACTCCGCACCTCGGGTGCTAAACCCTGAAAATTCTTAATAAAGCTGTAAAACATTTGTTATGGGTTAATACTTACTCTCTGTGTTTGACAGTATTTTTCATTATAGGATTCAATAATTTTTTTCTTAAACTATTTGTCACTTTCACTGTATTTTTCATTATAGGATTCAATATTTTTCTCAAATTATTTGTCATTTTCACATTCCAAAGCATCATTAACTCCCTACCCTTCATGGCTTCATCAATGTATCCACAAAATCGAATTACCCCCTCTCCTCACCAAGGATTGTGATATACTTAATGTGGGTATAGTTTCTCTTTTTAATGCTCCTTATTTTTTGTGACATTTCACATTTGTTAGAATGACAAATATTGTGAAATGGAGGGAGTTTTAATTTCATGCCTATGAGTGTTTATTTGTCATTAAATACATCTTAATGTTGATTAAACAGAAGTGTAATATAGGCACATGGTAATTACCAATAACTAGTTTGGTTGAAGCATAAAGGGGCCGGCATCCAAAATTTGTGCCATCATCTCTTGTTCCCATTTTGCATTTGCAAAAGTAACTTCCCTGTATATTGTGACAGACCCCTTTTCTGCAGGGATACAATTCCTCATACTTGGAATCTTGTGTACGCAGCATGCACTCATCTATATCTAAAGATGTTAATAAAAACATAAACAATTGGATAAGTTTAACTAACACATGGATGGAGGGTAAGAATCTCAAGAAGTGATAAAGTCAGCAGACTTTATATACTGGAAATTTCCTTTCCATAACTGCTCCCATAATTAAAGATTAAAACATGAGTGAGCAACCTACGCTAGAGCTGACTGTTTCTTTTACCAGTTCAGAAATAAAAACCAAAATGAAATTGATGACACTTGTCATGCATGCCAACAACATTTTGTGTTCTTTTAGCAATAGCAGTAGCTGAAACATGGTGAAAAATTATTATTGTACTCATTTATGATGTCCATAAGATTTTAGTGCAAGTGTATTAAGACATTGCAACCTCAATGGCAGTAAAACTGAGTAGCATTGAGAAGTCGATCAGGTTTCTAGAGTATTATCCTAGAAACTCCGGACCAAAAATTACTTTTGAGTAAATACATACCTTGGCAGCCATTCAGAATGTAAGGATTACCCTCATATCCTTTGGAGCATTGACATAGATGGCCTGGGCCATTATTTGCATTCATGCAGTAGCTGTTTACACTGATGCAGGCGTAACCACTAGGTGGCTCTTTTCCCTCCTCTGGGCACGAGCTGTTCCTGATGGCCCAGTCAGCGATGATCGGGGTGCCCCTCTTGGCTCTAGCGTCGATGAATCCAAGATGGCCAATGAGGTCTTGCTGCCTGAAACTGTACCACCCAGTCTCAGTAATCATGGCGTAGAAGCACGGGTTGAAGCCCCAGACCTTGCTTTGGTTCATCCCGAATGCCACCTCAAAGGAAGTGAGATTCGCAGGGATGGTAGCCTCACAGCAGCCCATCCCCGCGCAGGGGGCACCGTCGGACGTGCTGTTGATGCCCTCACAGTAGGAGTAGCACCCAGCAAGGTACTGGCTCTTGGCATCTTTGTTCCCACCGATGAGCCCAAGGGTGTTGCAGCCGATGACCATGAAGTGGTTGCGCGATGGGGATGGGAGAAGGGTGTGCTATGCACATCATACCCAGTTAAAAGCTGGGTAGATGTGGTGTTTGACGTGAAGCAGATGTGGTTGATGGGTCCGAGCACACGCATCTCGCCACGCTCCAGCAAGATATCAGTGACCTCGACCACTGCGCTCTGGTCCCCAACTGTTGGCCGTGGTGGATTGAAGGTGTCATTGCAGGTGACGATAAAGTAGCTGTTTAAGTTGGTTGCAGCACATTGCTCGCCGATGCCAAAGGGGTAGGGGATGGAAATGTCACCACACTTGTCTGGACAACCTGGTAATGACACAGAGGGTCTAGAAGAGGCTCCATCCGGCATGACCATTGCTGGAAAGAAGACGCATAGCATGAGGAGCACAGGGACCATCGTTTCTCGCATAGCGAGATCACTTGCTTTCGCAATCTATTTTAGCTAGAGGCACCTAGTGTAATGCCATCTGCTCTTGTGTTACATATATATGTATACAAACAGCATATTGGTCTGGCTTAAAACAATAGGAGGTGGATTTGTCTTGGACTTTCTATCACAACTAAGTTAATGGAAATTGTGATATATAAGATTGCCTGGATAGGGCTGTGTACGAGATAGTCTTGGTAGCGCGTAAGCTAATGACTATAGGCGTTATTATATCAGAGTAAGTTAACATGTACAAAGACTTTTACAGAAAGAAAACGTAAAATATAGCTGCAATCAGAATTTTCTATGGAGCCTACATAGCATGTTGTGGAACAGCTTAATAAATGTGCTATTTACATAACCATGTATCATACACAAGTTCCCAGTGTAGAAGTATTTTCTTCTAACAAAACGAAATGTAGAAGTATCATGTTGCAAGATCTATGCCAAGATCAGTGTAGACATCTCCATGCTGCTGTATGTCATCCTCCATGGCTGTGTGCATAATAACAGTCTTCATCTTCAATCATAGGCGCTCCGCAACTTCCTTCGTTGTTGGCCTGTCATCTCCACTTGGGCATAGGCAGTGGACTGCTAGTTGGGCCAGTTTCTCAAGCACTTCCATAGCCGCCTCATCTATAATTTCAAAATCAAGCATAACTTGGTGCTTATTGTGGCAGAACATCAAGAGGAAAATATAAGATAATGACTTTTTTCCATTGAACTCATCAGCAAAAATAGCCCTTTTTCTTGTGATCAGCTCCAGAAGAACTACTCCGAAACTGTAGACATCACTTTTCTCAGTCAGTTGATTACTGAAAGCTCTCAGGGTCAAGATAGCCAAGTGTTCCTTGTACAAGCATGATGAACTCACTTTCGTCCATGGACTTCTGTGCAGATGCTTCAAAATCTGCAATCTTTGCATTGTGCTGATCATCCAACAGGATATTGGCAGATTTGACATCTCCATATAGGATTGTGCAAGATTTGATGAATGTAAGTAAGCAAGAGCTTCTGCTGATTGTGTAGCAATTTTCAGGCGAAGATTCAAGGGAATTGGTGGTCTATTATCAGCATCATGAAGGAACTCAGATAAAGTTCCATTGGAGACAAACTCGTACACCAACATTGGGACATCTGCATCCAAGCAACATCCTAGTAACCTCACTATGTTCCGGTGGTTGATTTGAGATAAAATTATTATCTCATTGACAAATTCTTCCCTGCAATCATCATTTATTGCCTTGGACTTCTTTATGGCAACCTCTTTGTGGTCATCCAAACTTCCCTTATAGGAAGTGGACTTCAGGATTTGTCTTGGACTTTCTGTTTGCAGCTAAGTTCATGAAATTTGTAGTATAATATTGTCTCAATAGGGCTGTGTACAGGTAGTCTTCATAGCACATAAACTAATGATCATAGGAGAATATGTTAACACGTACGGAGACTTTTACAGGAAGAAAGAGTAAAAGATAGTTACAGTCCGAATTTTGTTTGGAGCCCACTAGCTAGCAGAAACCGGTGAAACGGGAGTAGGTTGTCAACTGCGCGAGCAAAATGGACATCTCTTGGTTTGGTTTGGTCAATGGGCAAACTCTGTCCTGTGATGTAAAGACGGAGCTGTTTCTGAATGTTTTACTTATCTTGTTTCAGGAGACCAGGTATATATCACGAGGTCAGAGGAAGAAATATCATCAATTGCCTACGCAATCATTGCCGATGTGTCTGATGGATGGAAACTACTGGTTCTGTGTCGTCTTCTGGCTGTAACCACTGCAGGAGATGTCCATGTTAGTCACAGGAGTAGCACACTTTGCAGCAGCCAAGACCAGTCTGCGTAGAGCTGGGCTTCATCAGACTACGCAGCAAGGTTCTGCAGATTTGATCTTCTTTGCTTCATTTTTTTAGAGGAGACTGCACATGTTGAGATTGTGCCGTGACACTTGTTGAAGTATTCAGCAGGTCATTCCTTGCACCTCAGGTCTCAGGACTGGTGTGTTAGAAACAAAAACTAGCTATGGTCTCAAGCAATGAACGCTTGGCTTCCATCTTGGTCTGGCCTGTAAGCCTGTTCATGCAGTCATGCAGAGTATGTTTCTTTTGTAGAAAATCCATTTTGATAGTTACAATCAGACTTTTGTATGAAGCCCACTTGCAAACAAAAAATGGTGAAATGGGTGTAGAAGTAGTCAACCATGAATGCTTATGTCAACCGCATGAAAAGATGGACATGTCTTGGTTTGTTTTTGGTCAATGGACAAACTCTGTCCTGTGCTGTAAATGCGGAGCTGTTTTCTGAATGTGTTACTTATATCTTCTTTCAGGAGACCAGGTATCACAAGGTCAGAGGGAGAAATATCATCAATTAACTACACTATGATCACCGATATGTCATCCTTTGCAGAAGCCAAGATCAGTTCTTGCATCTGTGTAGAGCTGGGCTTCGTCAGACTGCTCAGCCATGTTCTGCAGATTTGATCTTTGCTTAACTTTTTTAGAGGAGAGTGCACATGTTGAGATTGCACCATGGCTTTTCTTTAAGTGTTCTGCAAGTCATTTCTTGCACCTCGGTATCTTGGAAATAAAACCTGGATATGGTCTCAGCCACAGACGCTTGGCTTCCATCTTGGTCTCGCCTGTAAGTTCGTGCATGTTTCTTTTGTAGAAAATCCATTTGTGACAACATTCTGATGGTTACAGTCAGAATTTTGTATGGAGCCCACTTGCTAACAGGAACCGGTGAAATGGGAGTAGAAGTAGTCAGCATGGATGCTTATCTCAACCGCACAAAAGAGAAACAATGGACATCTCTTGGTTTGGTTTGGTCAACTGACAAACTCTGTCCTGCGCTGTAAATGCAGAGCTGTCGGCTGGTGGTTTATGCGGCTGATAAGCCGGCTGATGCGGATTTGTTATGAAAGAAAAACACTGTACCATAGCTAATAAGCCGGGTTGATAAGTTCAAGCGAACAGAGCCGCTAGCTTGAGGAAACAAGTACAACAAGGTCAGATGAAGATCGAACAATAATCGGTTGCCTATACTGTCATACCCGCGTGATGTCAGGAGGCTGGAAATTGCTGGCTTGTGTTGTCTTTGTGGCTTCAACCAATGCAGGGAGAAGTGTTTGTTAGTCAGAGGAGTAGCACCCCCTTTTGCAGCAGCAGCATCCAGGACCTACAGTTTTGTGTGTGGATAGAGAGCTGGGCTTCTGTCAGGCCACTCGGCCAACCTGGCTCTGGAGATTTGATATTTCTCTGCTTAATTAAATCCGCAGTTGAAGAGAAGAATGAGCATGTTGAGATTGTGCCGTGCCTTTCCTTGAAGCATTTTCGGCAGGGCCGTTTGTTGCAGTCATATCTTGCCCAGGAGTGTTCAGTGCGCTCGGATGGAAACCAAAAGCTGGATGTGGTTGATTGACTGACATGATCCACTAGTTATATCTAGTATGTATATTGATATTTGAGATAAATAGCAAGTTCTTTAACATGAACTATTACGAGATTTAGAGATAGAGGGAGAGACCATCGGCCGCCTTCGTAGAAGAGGGGCTTGCCAGGGTGCTTGTCGATGGCGCGGTGAGGTCCGGCGGTGAAGTCGCGGACGCAGTGGCGGCAGTGCAGAGGCAGCGGTGGCCGGTGGCGGTCTTCCTGTTGCTGGCAACGCCCCCTCACTAGATCGGCTTAGAGTTTAAGGACTGTAGGTGGGGTGTATGGCAGCATAGGTGATTCTCATGCCTTGTGCTTCGGTCCCCACCTCCTTTTTTATGGTGTTGTGCGACAGGGGCTCACCAACCATAGAGCGGTTGGGCGTCTCCGATTAGGGCGCGGATCCAAGGGTCCAATTGGTGAAGATCAATCTAACATTCTCCCCCTGATCTCATCTTATGATTTAAACTTAACTTACTTTATCTTGTTCCCATTTCATCACAGATCAGTGCATAGAGCGTGTCTCATCGTCACGGTCAGTTGCCATTAAATTAAACAGCTACAAAGCACTTTTCTGTTTTGAAACAGATTCTCAACTAGGCCCTCATTGTATAGGAATTATAGGCTTTTCCTTAAACCCATGCTGGCTAAGTGTTTTCTGAACACGCTGGGTGGAAAGCCTTTTGTAAGCGGATCCGCGCGCATCTTTTATGTTCTTATATGCTCAAGAGTAATTATATGATCCCGGACTTTGTCTTTCTCAACATAATACTTTATGTCAATGTGTTTGGCAGCACCACTTGATTTATTGTTGTGAGCATAACATACTGCTGGATTATTATTGCAGTATAACTTGAGTGGTTTATGTATGTCGTCTGCCACTTTCAACCTGGGCATGAATTTCTTCAGCCAATTCACCTGCCCTGTGGCCTTATAACATGCTACAAACTCGGCATATATTGTGAACGATGTAGTGACGGTTTGCTTTGAGCTTTTCCACGATATACCTCCTCCTGCGATAGTGAATATATATCCTGACGTGGACTTTCTGTCATCTTCCGCATAATCAGAATCTGTATACCCCTTTATGTGCAGGGAATCAGATCTTCTGTACGTTAGCATGAGACCCTTCGTACCTTGCAG